AGAAAAGCGTCTGTGACATTAAGCAGGGGGCGATCCGTACGCCAAGAAAGCAAGACTGGAAAATAGCATCTAGGAAATAGCTTTGTCAGGACAGCAGTCAAGCTTTTGATCAATCAACACACACAGCCATTATAGCTGAAGCTGTCCAATAATAACTCATTGCAATCGTTAAAATGTATCTGGACAGTAGAGGGAGGCGTTTTCTGGCATGTGCCACACCGTAAGTGCACCATCGTTTTTCAAATGCACGACTCATGACTAAAATCCTTTTAATCAGGTAAAAGATACGAAACATCTGTTATCATGAACACAATAAAAGCTTCTAATCACTTTGCCCTAGTCTCAGTGGTGAGGGTATAGATGTTGTCTCACTGAACATATGCTACTAGTCGTCATAGGGTATAAAACAGAAGTGTATTTTAGTTGCAGAACCTCAAATTAAAGATTACTAATTTCCATGTTGCATGACTTTTAAAAGGGCTGATGTAATGTGTTCTGTTGGATCGCAGTTTGGAAAGATTGAGAAAGCAGCCAAATTAATTTTTTAAGATCCACAATATAGCCTTCACACACGCAAGCTTACACCTACGAACAAAAATACACATATACAAGCCGACACAGACACACAGAACAACATACACACGAACACACACAGCTACACACACTCTATTAAAAGGAAAATATATATATACTACAGATATATAAAAACATTTGAAGAACATACGTGAATAATAGATGAAGTATAATCCTCATTGATAAACCTACCACCATTTTCTTTAAGTACCGCTTTCTAGATAAGGATTTAAAAAAGGCGAGATTAATATTTTTCTCATGTTGCAATAATGTCTTAACATTTTTAAAGATTCATTTTGTATTAAAAAAGATAAATTGATTCAGTTGTCCCCAATATTTAGATTTAGACACACACACACACACACACACAGACATTCACAGTGACAGACATACATACATACATACCCACTGATAGGTACACACATACATACACACACACACAGACATTCACAGTGACAGACACACATACATACATACACACTGATAGGTACACACATACATACACACACATACATAAAGACACACACACACACACACACACACACACACACACACACACACACACACACACACACACACAGTACACCTCCAGTCAAATATACCAATTACATTTATATTAACCCTTTTCTTTGCCGTACTTCAACAGTTTTCACAGGTGCAGTATGGCTCATCAGTTTATTGGAGTCCTGTGAATTTTATGACCGCACATTCCCCAGCATCCCCACCTGGTCTTTTCCAAAGCCCTATTAAAATGCTATTTCTTTCTCCATCTTCCACATCGTATCCCAGCTTCATTTCTGACGTATCCACTTAAACATGTCCAGACAATAAAATAAAAAGTCTCGTAATCACTCTAAGAGAAAATTGTCTTCCTTGAACCATGTCTGTTCTTGCCTTTGTTTGTGGATCAAAATACAAAGCATGGGTGGATTTCATTTAAGGCTGCTTTGGGAACAGATCAGTAGCCTTTTTTCCTTCAAAAAGAAAAAAGAAAAGAAACCGCAGGATTATAGTGAGAACATAATTATGGGATACCACCAGACTGAGATGAAATAAGCGAGAAATGATTGTAAAACTGCTGTCTGAAGAGAGTCCAATGGAAACACATGCTTATGGAATGAACAAGGCCTGCTAGCCGTAATGTTTTACAAGAGTAGATATTAATACATGGGGTGATAAAGTATTTACTGGTATTTAACAAGTGTGAAACTCCATTTTCGTGTTTGAGTTTATTGTTATGAGCTGGCCAATGTGGAGATTAACTCCAAGTGGACGCAATGGGATCAATAAATGTACGTTTAAAGTTAAATGATGGACTGACAACTAATTTCTTCCCTCATATGACCCAGATCAAGAAGCTTAAATCCATTCTCAAGTTGATGACTCAAACTGGCTTCGTGCCTCTGCAGATGTCTTTCTGTTAAGTATACTTGGCGTTCTTCTTTGGACTTAAAGGATAACTGACATGTGTGAAAATTAGCAGTTTTATTGAGATTCTTCCACTAAAGTGTTGAACACCGGAGTCCCTCAGGGCTATGTACTCGGACCCTTCGTGTTTACACTGTGCACACATGACTGCAGCTCTCAACATGAAGAGAATCCTTGCAACATTTCAGATGACACTACCATCATTGAGAGGAAATAAACAACCTTTCAGAGAGGTGTTCAGAGAACGACTTACTGCCAAACTGATCATCACACATCTCCATCTTGGTGAATATAGCTCAGAAATAACTGAATTTCTTAAGGAAACTTAGTAAAGTGAATATCCTTGCCAAGTTCTTATACAAAAAACATCTTGTTTATCTCAATGGAATGCATCCTGACTGGAAACCTTTCAAAACTGGCATGAATAATGCTCAGCCCAGGACAGGAAGGCTGCGCAGAGGAAAGGGATATTAAAAAACAGTAATTAAGTTTTTTAAACTAGGCCTTGACAAAAGGCCCATTCACAACACAGGGCTTCAACATTGGGTACCATATTGACGTGTTGGTAATCCAGCCCTCCAGCCTAACTTAAAGTCATTATAAACAGACACCTATTTACACCTTTTTTACTTAGTTCATTCTACATGTGTGGCCCACCAACCATCTACAGCTGATATTGATTAACATGCAGTTGGTACTTGTGTAGACTTAAACTCTGCCAGTCCTCCATTTAAATCATAATGATGCATGAGTGGATATTTGTAATAATGTTCTCCAGTGCATGGTTACCACCACATGAGACATGCACTGCCTAATGGAAGAACTGAGGTAATGGGTATTTCACCAGAGAAGTTCAGTGATCTGGAGCCAATACATACTGCCCACTTAGGATTCCTACATCTCTTACCTCCTGTTAAATGTTCAGTTAAATTAACCTCAGCTTATGGTAGCCTTGTGCACAGTAAAGTCTTGGTAAATGTTAAAAGGAGCCCTGTACTGTAGGTGTGTGTTTCCTAGTTTCCATAAGCCAGGAGAGGCCTTTGTAACTTGTGCACCCACTGTACATTCTAACGTATTCCCTGTTTGGGAGATATGGGTCTGTAGGGCTTCTACATCTGCTCTCTACTTATCAAACTGAACGCACACAGTTGGAGATTCCCACAGAGAAACAAACTGAATCTATTGATTAATTATTGAGTACCTTGGCAATTACACATTTTAATGACTTAAGAACTTAAGAGTTCAACCTATGCACCAGCAATTACAATAGTCTTGCTTGTTTTGAAGTGAATGTCAGCACTTTTCTTGATGTCCTTAGTTTGAATTATTATGGTTTATTGCACTTACTGTCAGTCGCTTTGGATAAGTGTCAGATAAGTGTAATTTTATTATCTGATAAACTGCATCAGAAGGAGCCTGGCTCTCAAGTGGAATAGTCTACTACCATTGAAACTTCAGCTAACAATGATTATGCATCAGTCAGTAATGATGTGTCTGTAATAAAGTTTAAACCGAAGCAAAACGGAATGAAATATAAAACAAGCGCACATTTCACAATCACTTCATCCACGTATGTGCATGCATGCAAGGACGCACATAGATGGAGCTATGATTGCTTCTGTAAATGTCAACAATATATGGTTTGTGAGTTATGAAAAGGGGTGGGTTGACAGTGTACTGTAGGGCGCAGAGCTTAGGATTTCTCACAAAACTCACACACAACTACAAAAACATGAATTCAAAACGAGTGAGCAAGGTAAAGCGATCACACAACCACAAAATCCTGAATTTAAACCCATTGATATAAATGAATCCTTCTTCAATGCATATCTTTACTTCATTGTCTCTGTAAGCAGTCACTGGAAGTAACCACTCTAGTTCTGGAGTCTCTGTGATAATGGCAGCTAAACTTACACCGTTATGCTTAATTAGCCCTGCAGCAATTTCAACACATGGGACCATGCAGAAACCAAGATGGTGTAGTGTTCAAACTCAGAATAATGTGTGGGCGAGTGAGAGTCTGTGAAGCCTTTTGTCTCGCTTGAACATGAGAAATAGGATTCATCCATGTTTTGGTGTGAGAAAGCTGTTAGCCAGCAAGCTGTTAATTGTTAGATCACTGCTAAACATATTTTTGCCTGCCAGTTACTAAACAGCTTCTGATGTATGAACAGCTCCCTCTGGACCTGAGTACAGCTAACCAAAAGTATCCTTGGAAAACCAGGTCTGATTTCTAATTTGACTTGTAATCCGGCCAAAGGAAACATGTACTGTAAATGCAGATGTCCGACTAACTCGTACAGAATGAGTTAATCTATGCAAAAATCTTAAATCATAGTTTTAGTCATGTGCTGTGGTTTTTAACGGTAATATGTTGGACATTTTACAAAACCATTTGGTGTGTAACATCATATTCTGTGTTTATTTATTCAAAAAGTGTGGTTCGCCCCGGTGAGGCTCAGAGTGAGTTTCCAGTCTGGTATTTAGTAACTGTTTATACACAGTAATTAAGACAAATTATAGGAAAGTGTGAGACTAAAGTGATGTTTTCCAGGTTGTTTTTACAACACGATACATTTGATGTGTTTGTGGTTTTTCCTCCTGTTCTGGTATTAGACGCAAGAAATCAGACATGCAACCCTTCAGCATGAATGATCTTTTCACACAAAAAAAGTATCCACAAGTATATGTATTACAGATGTTCAGTATTATACATACCTGTATGACTTACAAGCTTGCTCTGTTTATTCATACATCACTGATCTGCTGTTGCTAATTTGAATCATGAAAGGCCCCAGTGTGTAACAATAACAATGTGTGTCAGTGTGTGCGTAACGTCTCCCAAATCCAGATGTTCTGTCATTAAAATGAATGGGTGTGTTTACATTTGATTCATTGCTCTCGTCTTCAGAACTGCATTGCATAAGTGAGCACTTTGTCAAAGCAAAGCTCGTGTCAGTGCTGGGATTGTTAAGGATGTTGTGTCTTGTCTCCTGCAGGGATCTACCTGTTGGACATGATCTACATCGACTCAGCCTATCCTGCTTCAGACAGCATCATCGAGACGGAGCAGCGGACCAATAAGATGAACAACCTCCTGAGGGTCATCTCCGACCTGCAGGTGTCCTGCAGCTATGGTAAGAATCTGATTACACTAGAGACCATAGAGTGATGGGAATACAACACATGTTTTTTTACTACTATTAAGATACTGGAAGTCTGCAAGTTAGGGTCACAACAACTTCTGTCCCATGTGATCGTGTTTTAGTTATTTAAAGTGGATCTATCATGCTATATTTGAATAATATAGTGTAGGACCATACCTATGTAAAGCATATTTATACTTTTATTTTTTCAAAATACCAAACCGATCATGCATTTTAGCCATGCCTCATTTCGCTCAATTTGACAATTTTTAGATCTGTTTTAGCAAGGGTTGATTCTGTGAGCAACAGCACCATCTACAGGCCTGGCATATGTACTACAGCGTCTCCAGCGCTTTCGAACGGCAATGGCCGTGGCTGTCTCCTCCTGATTGGTGGAGTTGGCCCAATAGCCGTAGCGCCACCGTCCTGACGTCAGGACAGTGTTCAAATCTGGATCAGTTTTTATCAGATCCGTTGCAGCCCCTTTTTTAGAGATTTGGGTATGGAGGAAAATAGAGAGGGTTGTGTTTTCTAACACTTGGTGAGTTCCCTGGAACACCGGGGACACATATTCATGTATAAAAGACGTACAAAAGTGCATTTTGCATGATAGGTCCCCTTTAATGCAGCGTTTTGCACATACTATTGAAACATCAAATCGGTAGTCTCCCACGTCATATTTCAGCAGGAGAAACTTCCTCAGGTGTTAATCCTCAGAACTACAAGGTGCCCATCATCACATGATAACAGAATGTGATGAACATGAACATTAACTGTCTCATACTTTGGAATAAATGATCATGCTTGTGGTTAAAATAGGCTTTTTGATTGAACTCACATACACCATTTCGTGCAGTCATTCCAGTTTATATGAAACACATGCAGGTTACTTTTCCTGTATAGCAAAGATATTAAAATGATATTTGTATGGGTTCTTCTTCTGTCCAAGACAAACAGGCCTGATGAATAAAGCTGGTAAAAGCACTGAATCAGCAGCATTGGAGCCACTGCGAGTTAAAGGATCTTCAGCTTTTTCTTCTGATTACTCAATATGCCATCGTTCAGGAGTTTTTTTTACTGGAAGCCAAGTTATCAGCAGAGGTCTCCTCCTCTCTAAAATAAGCACACCCACTTATTAAAGCTTAAAAACACAGAATAAGGCAGTTTCTTGTTAAACATTGGAGTTTCCCCGGGTAACACAGGCCATATGGAATACAAGTTAGCTCAGGTTGTTTCAAGACGTCCGATGACTTAAATCCCTTAAATCACACAGTTCAAAACCACCAAGCACCAAAAACTGCATGACAAATCATAGGTGTAGTAGTTCTTCGACATCTTAATCCAGAAATGTTACATAATACTCGATATATTTCACTTGCTTCATGACATTTGTATTCACTATATTCCACGTCCAGTTGTAAATGTTGTGTGTCTACTATCCCATCGTTCAGGAGTTTCTTTTACCACATGCTGAGTTGTCAGCAGAGGTCTCCTCCTCTCTAAAACAAGCAGACCCAGTGATTAAAGCATAAAAACACAGAATAAGGCAGTTTCTTGTTAAATATTTGAGTGTCCCCGGTTAACACAGGCCATAGGGAATAAGATAAGATAGAGCTTTATTGTCTCCCTTAGGAGAAATTTGTCTTGGGCATCGAGATAATAAATATAAAACATTCAGGTCAATCAGTCATAGATACAGAACAGAGATCACATATCACATGGCAAAGAAACAAACAAGAAACACACAGGTACAGAACTTTCCCTATTGCACATATCACTATTGCACATACATAATCAAATATTGCACTTTTCCCTATTGTATTTATACATAATCAAATATTGCACTTTCCCTATTGCATTCATACATAATCAAATATTGCACATATCCCTATTGCATTCATACATAATCAAATATTGCACTTTTCCCTACTGCATTCATACATAATCAAATATTGCACTTTCCCTATTGCACATATCCCTATTGCATTCATACATAATCAAATATTGCACTTTCCCTACTGCATTCATACACAAATCAAATATTGCACTTTCCCTATTGCACCTATGCATAGTGTCTGTCAAATTGCACATATCCCTATTGTGTCCATACCTATTTACACATAATGCACTTTCCCTATTTAACCTTCTCGATTGCACATACTACACTGTAAACATTTCACCTCCCAACAACTCCTAACACAGCATAATCACAATTGTTTCTGACTAAATACAAGCTAAAGACTACGTTTGCTCAGCTTGTTTCAAGACATCCGATAAATCCCTTATCCGGTTAAATCATACAGTTCAAAACCACCAAGCACCAAAAACTGCATGGCAAATCATAGGTGCATTCGTTCTTAGACATCTTAATCCAGAAACGTTACATAATACTGTATATATTTCACTTGCTTCATGACATTTGTATTCACTATATTCCACTTCTAGTTGTAAATGTTGTGTGTCTATCATCACTGAGTCAATGTCTGTGCATATATACTTTCTTACTTTGTATAATATGTGATTCCTTATATTACATACTACATGCGGATGCTCAGATTGAGTGTTTTATCTCCTATCCTTTGTTCCTTCAGATTACTTGGTGACTCTGCCTCATGTCCAGAAGTATCTGCTGTCAGTTCGCTACATCGAGGAACTCCAGAAGTTTGTAGAGGATGACAACTTCAAGTAAGCTCCAAAATAACCAAGACATCACCTAAAAACTCTGTCAACCTTCACTTCATTCTGCATCCTTTCCTGACTGTAATCAAACTGAGGAAACCCTTTGTGTTGCAGGCTGTCTCTAAAGATTGAACCTGGCAACAGTTCACCTCGCATCGCTTCCTCTAAAGAAGACCTGGCAGGTAAGACGCACACTGATTACAAACTCTGCTGTTGTTCCTTCTTTGTTTATTGGAATCACCTATTTTGTTTTTATTAATACTATTAGTTTAAAGGTGGGGTAGGTCATTTTGGAGAAACCAGCTCGAGTGTGCTAAAATTTGAAAATACACAGCCGGAAAAAATCTGCCACTTCCTTACAGAGCCCCTCCTCCAACACACACGAACGCGCACATGACCAATGAGGGCACAAGATAAGTTTGTGCACAGATGGAAGGCTGACAGGCAGGTAGGCCATCCAGTTATTTTAGCCGGGCCAGCTAAAATGATTGGTCGTGCTTTTTACAGTACTACGGCTTCCACAGATGACATTTTTTTATGGATTTTTTGTCAAAGCACTTAAGATATTCATTGCTATCGGGATGTTAAGAGCATTCCATGGAATATAACAAAAAGTGTATCTCGAGCCGGTTTCTCAAACTTACCTACCCTACCTTTAACTGTCACAGCAGTACAGACAGAATGGACTCAAACGCAAAAATCAGAAGCAGGCAGAGTCAAAGAAAACAGGTTTACACAAACGTCAGGTAAAATACATGTCGTTAAAACGAGTAACAAAAGCTCAAAGCAACAAAACAAGAGGGAAAAGGCACTGGGTGGATCTCTGGCTCTTAAATTGCCTCCACATTTACCCAACATGTGAGTCAGGGTTCTTACGGTCATTAAAAACCTGGAAAAGTCATGGAAATTCAAAATGTAAATTCCGGGCCCTGGAAAAGTTATGGAAAACAATATTTTTCCCAAAGTCATGGAAATGTAACCAAAGTTGCATAAAATATAATTAATATTTTATCTAATTGCCGAAATAGTAATACTATAACGATAATAAATACTGTATCGTATAGTAATGACACGTAAAATGGCATTTTACTGACGAGGTATTTTGCTGGTGAGAGATTTTTACAATCACGCCCTCTAGTCTACAGTGGCTTTAGCCTGTAGGAGCTAGTAAGCCTACTATTTGATTTGTTTTAGATAAGCACAACATGTTTCATATGCAGACCTTATTTTCCAGCTTACCATGTTAAAATAAACATTTTTCAGTGGTACCGCTAAGAAAGAGTAATTTTTTTGGTCTTGGAAAATTAGGTAAAGGTCATGGAGAAGTCATGGAAAATAATTGGTAAAAAAGTGTATGAACCCTGGTGAGTAGAGAAAACGATAAACGATCACAGCTGACCACAGCCAATCACTGCAGCTAACCCAGTCTCACTGCAGCTAACCCAGTCTCACTGCAGCTAACCCAGTCTCACTGCAGCTAACCCAGTCTCACTGCAGCTAACCCAGTCTCACTGCAGCTAACCCAGTCTCACTGCAGCTAACCCAGTCTCACTGCAGCAATATTTCATAATCATAATGTTAGCCGGGTGGAGGTGAGGTCCAGTGCCCAGTTTGGAGCTTTCTAGCAATGAGGAACTGTAGATCTTATCTACTTGAAGACTGTCCAAGAGTCCGGTTTGTTAATATAGATATTGAAGAGAGTAGGCTAAGTTTGAATGAGTGTGTAAGGTGTAAATATGGATGGATGTTTGTTGGGTGGGTTAGAAGCCATTATGGATTTTATATCGGACATTTTGATGAGACTTTAGGATGTGAAGTGTTTACTGAGGTTCCTTCTATAATAACAGTTGTCAAAATTATTAAATACGGGAGAAATCAGCAGAGGTGGAAGAAGTATTCAAATGCTTTACTTAAAAGTACCAATACATTAGTGTCAAAATACTTCATTACAGTGAACGTCATGCATTCAAAAGACTTACTTACTTAAGTAAAAGTACTATTAACACAATGTGCTTAAGGTATACAGATATAAAAGTAATTATTGTGCAGAAGAATGGCTTTTATGTGTGTATATAATTATATTTATATATGTGACATGTCTACATAATATTGTTGCATCAAGTAGCATTGAGTTTCTCTTTTTAAATGTAGTGGAGTAGAAGTATAAATTAGCACTTAATGGAAATACGTTAAGTACAAGTACCTCAAAATTGTAGAGTAATTGAGTAAGGGTACTTTGTTACTTCCCACCTCTGGACATCCTGGTTCCAGTCCAGTTTTGATTTCCAATTTGAAACGTTTTGTTAAGTATTCAGAACTTGGTGCCCTTCTGCTGAGCGTGCAGATTGCTAGCTTTAGCCACCATGAACTAGCGTGTGTCTTAACGAGCTAATAGTGGAGTGATTAAGGCGTTGTGAGGCAGGGGAACTCATTATCACGGGTTCTTGTAATTCCACTTCACCACATATGTTTCGTGATTCCCAAATTGCGGACGAGTAAACTTTTTCCTCTTGTTTGTGGGAAAGATTCTAAACAGAGAACATTCCTTAGCACATTATCAGTTTCCCCACGAAGCTAGCCAGCAGATACAATCACATGCAGCTGTGTGTGTGTGTGTGTGTGTGTGTGTGTGTGTGTGTGTGTGTGTGTGTGTGTGTGTGTGTGTGTGTGTGTGTGTGTGTGTGTGTGTGTGTGTGTGTGTGTGTGTGTGTGTGTGTGTGTGTGTGTGTGTGTGTGTGTGTGTGTGTGTGTGTGTGTGTGTAGGGGTCGGAGCTTTTCGGAGCACTTCCTAGTCTACATGAGGTTCATGGTACTTTAAAAAGACCTTGATATGATATATGACAAATGTCACTTATTTCCTGCATCACGGCCCCTTCATTTGCAACATCAACATGATCACACACACACACACACACATACGCACACACATACACACACACACACACACACACACACACACACACACACACACGCACACACACACACACACACACACACATTTGTACTGTTGTAATAATTTTCAAATGTAATTGTTTAGTAAGTCAGTGTGATTGTTTGTGTGTTCCAGGTCTGTCTGAGGTGTCGGCCTCCATGAGGTACAGCCGGCGGCCCACCTGCCCTGACACCTCTGTGGGGCTTCGGATCCCCACCCCCCCGCCCTCTCACCACAGGAAGAGCCATAGTCTGGGGAACAAGTGAGTTATATTCAGGATGGGAGTTATACAACATCTATCTAACCTTATGTTAAAGTCTGACCTGCACCCGCTCAGTTAGGAAGTGTTTCATGAGGTGAAGAACATGAGCACTACTACGTGTGTCTTCCTCATCATCTCTGTATGCTTGTAAAACATTTTTATTAAACGTACATTTAAACATGTTATGCTTAGAAACAGTTACTTCCCAACACAGAACTACTACAAAAAATACAAAAAAAACGAATGAAACCGGGGGCATAAAAACTACATTATATACTAAACGTATCCAAAATGTCTACAATGTTGTATGCACTTTAATACCAGGAGGAGTACAAGATGTTTTAGTAAAACTAAATATTTCCCCTACCTCTATAGTGTATTCAATATTTATACTAGAGTGGTTATACCTACAGTACTATGCTCTAAGGTTTTTATATCTGTCGTATTTATATACTTACACTATGCATATAGACTGCACATTTGCTCTGTGCAACAACAAGGAAGTGGAGTCTGATCTCATTTAATAAAATATGAAAAGTGAAAGGAGAACAAGAAGCTCTCAACACGCCTCAATGAAACCCTGTGTGTGTGTGTGTGTGTGTGTGTGTGTGTGTGTGTGTGTGTGTGTGTGTGTGTGTGTGTGTGTGTGTGTGTGTGTGTGTGTGTGTGTGTGTGTGTGTGTGTGTGGTGTGTGTGTGTGTGTGTGTGTGTGTGTGTGTGTGTGTGTGTGTGTGTGTGTGTGTGTGTGTGTGTGTGTGTGTGTGTGTGTGTGTGTGTGTGTGTGTGTGTGTGTGTGTGTGTGTGTGTGTGTGTGTGTGTGTGTGTGTGTGTGTGCGTGCAGTATGATGTGTCAGTACGGCATGTCAGAGAGCAGGAGCGCCACGTTTCCCATTGAGAAAGCCCGCCACCTGCTGGACGACAGCTTCTTAGAGTCCAACAGCCCGGCCAGGAACGACCCGTACAGCAACTCTGTGTCCAACGGCCTGTCCATGGGTACGATATACCGTACCATTATCACTGTGGTTATTATGTGCATCACAAATACAGCTGTGTAGGAAGAAAAACATGTATTTTATCTATACGTTTAGTGTGTGTCTTTATGACAAACATGAGACCTAGAGAATAAACTTGTCCTGTGTCTTTTTGTAATAACAGGCAGCAGTGAAAGCTCTTTTGGGGAGGAGCTGTCTCCTGGAATGGAGAGGTGAGAGCAAAACATCACATAAAAGCATTTTAATCAATCTTTCAAATGACAAATGAATATCTAGTACACTGAGGAGTTCTGCTAATACTCTGTGACCATGTGTCAAACAGGGGCCGCATGTACGCCACACTGGGCCCCAACTGGAGGGTCCCTCTCCGAAACTCCCCGCGGAGCCGCAGCTATGTTTACAGGTCAGTGAGAGGGAGAGTTCACCTTCATGGGGCGATAAGAGTTAGACTCATGTGTTTTACTTACCTCATCTGTCATTTCTGACTCTACTTACTGAGCTGTAGATTCCACTTACTAGCTACAGGTACATGAGTAAACTAGTATTCTCCTAAATCTCTAAATTGTCAGTTCACAAATTATTATTTTTTTAAAGCGGATAAAACCTTACAAAAAATCACGTTTTAAAGCATATCAGAAATGTGATGCTAGTTTGTAGCAATACATACATTTGTACTTATTGTTATCATGTCTTATTGGAGATCCACATGTCTGTATGTGGCCCATAATGAAATGTAGCGCCCTCTGCATGTTGGTTTTAGTCCTATATTAGTTGTGAGTATATTTATATAACTCGACTAGAGTCAATACGGATGTTTTAGATTGACTATATGTACTAAGGATATATAAATAATAATATCATTTGAACCAGACATGCTCCTACTTTTTGTTCCATGGTTATCTGTACCAAGACTTCCAGGATCCTTCTAAGGTAGGAGTCTGTCTCAGCTTCTTCTTATGTTATGTATTGTGTTTGCATCTCTTCTCTCCTCTCCAACAACTTCAGCTCCTCCGCTGCCAACTCCTGCTACGGCTGCAGCGAGGAGGACAACGTGACTGTTGAAGGACCGCTGAGGAGGAAGACCCTTCTGAAGGAGGGGCGCAAACCCAAGGTGCATTTCGATTTCACTGAGATTGAAGCTACTTCTCTCGAATATGGTTGACTACGTGAACAAAGAGAATTACATTACATACACATACCACCTTTACAGCTCACGTCAAAACATGCTTCACTGAGAACTACACCTGCGCACACTAGTCTGTGTTGGACATGGCGTGTGTGTTACATGTTGTGTGATTGTGACGTGCTATATGTGACATGTATGTAGGAACGTTTGCATTGTATTGTTCTCTTTTATCCTTCCGCCTGTATCTACTTGTCTTTCATCCTTTCTTTATAACTAATGCTGTTGATGTATTGTGTCTATTATCATCTGGACAACAGCTGGAAATTAGCAATGTTAGCTAAAGCTGCTCCATTTACTGTTTTGTGTGACAGTTGATCAACGGGGACTGTCCACGACACTATAAACAAATCAACTAAATACATTTTCCGACAAGAGTGATTGAGATGTTTTCAGAATCATATGTTTTTGTTTTGTCGCAGTTGTCTTCGTGGACCAGATTCTGGATCACTCTGTCTGGATCAACTCTGACTTTCTTTGGGGCCAAAGCTCTGAGGGCCTCTGAGAGAAAACATGTGAGTTTGCTTTCATGCCTTTTACAGTCCTTTAGACTTAAGACCATAAGACTGTTAAACACCTGAACTAGAACGTCCATAACAATCACCTGTTTGCAACTTACAAATTATGTATCACTTGTATATAGACTCTTATGGCACTATTTCTATTCTATTTCATTTGTATCATTTCATACCAGTACCATTCACCCCTCTGCATTCATTCAGATACAGTGTGTGTAGTTCTGACCTCTGTGCTCATGTCTTTGCTCCAGTATAAGTCCAGCCCCTGTAAGAAGGTGTGTGTCACGGGGTGGATGGTGGTGCTGCCAGACAACCCGGCCAGACCCAACATCTTCCAGCTGAACGACCCCGATAAAGGTCAGCTCCCCCCCCCCCCCCCCACACTCATACAGCTCTCCTGCTTCTTCCTGTGTCCATCAGAGAATCACAACTTGTGTCTCTTCACAGGAAATGTTTACAAGTTCCAGACCGGATCCAGGTTCTCAGCCATCATCTGGCACAAAAACCTGGAGGAGGCGTGTCGGAGCAGCAGACCTCAGGTAGGTTCACACACACACACACACACACACACACACACACACACACACACACACACACACACACACACACACACACACACACACACACACACACACACACACACACACACACACACACACACACACACACAACACACACACACACACACACACACACACACACACACACACACACACACACACACACACACACACACACACACACACACACACACACACACACACACACACACACACACACACACACACACCACACACACACACACACACACACACACACACACACACACACACAACAATCATATACCGGTGCGAGAGGCTACCACATATGTGTTTGCAACATATTCTTAATTGACTTTGAAAGACATAATGAGATGTTGATAATGGGCAACGTGTCAATGATGTATGTAGTGGGTTACATGTTATAGGCATTTACAAAGTTTGTAGTCCATTGTTTAATAGTATTTTATATATTCATCATATCAAAGTTGCAGTGCAGACGGCAAATAACTTCATCCTTCTTCAGCAATGTCTTGCGTTTAAGAAAAGATCCAGGGTAAGCCCAGAAATATAAAGGTGTCAGTCATCCTCTTTTACTCTCTCAGCAATATTCCTGTTCCTGTTCATCGCTAAATATAACAAAATAACTTTAAATCATGTGTTCACCAGACACATGACTCATTATGAAAGCTGAGGTTGCTCTGTATCTGCTGAATATATATATATATATATATATATATATAGGTTTGCCAAAAGAGCCTTATATGGTCATGATAAAGCAATGTTGCATTCATATTTTGTTGCAAATGGGGGAAAAAAACATAAAATCGAAAAGTAAAAGCCTACAAATATTTGAGTTATTTGTTAAACTTTGGATGCATTTTCCCCCCCCAGCCTAATTGTCCAATTCCTTAGAATCTTATGCCTCCATGACTTCAAGGTTCAAGGTTCTTTATTGTCAATCTGACATAGCTACAGAGTAATTATGTAGTTGAAAATCTTATGTCACAGGCTTCTCCAACAATGCAACATAATAACATAATAACAATACAGATAGCAAGAGCAATACAAAAAGAAAAATAGTTATAAAATAAAGTGATGATGTGGACTTGATTACTAATGGATTTGAGTTATTTTTTTATTTGTATTTCTGGTCGTAGCACTTAAAAGGTTTGGCTTATTTGATGCTAATGTATCTGCAGCACTCTTGCTGTCCTCAGGTAGTCTCCTCATGGATAATTGCACTTATTGTATGTTGCTTTGGGTTGAATCATCAGGAAAATGAAATCAAATTATGTACAAAATGTTGTTTTTTTCCAATTCTTACAAATAAGGAAACTTCTTTTGTTTTAATATTAAATATTTATGCTCTTCTTTCCACAGATACCAGCAAACCTCATGTCATTTGAATGAGAGCAGACTCCAACCAGCGGGACGTTAATGTGCCAAACTCATGGGGTTTGGGAAGCAGAGACTCAAACATGGACCCCAGTGGAGAGATGAAGAAGTGAAGAAGAAGTGATGAAGAAGTGATGAAGAAGTGAAGAAGAAGTGATGAAGAAGTGAAGAAGAAGTGATGAAGAAGTGATGAAGAAGCTCTTTAAACTGAATAAGTGACTGTGTACGCCAACACCTGCTTTCTTTCTTTACCAGGACTAAATGAAATGTGAACTGTGGACAAATGGAGTTAATGGAGGACTTTGTTATGCTGCTTAAAACATGTGAACAGCGTATGTTTTTTGGCCCATGTTGGGTTTCTGTTTGGGGGAGGATGAGGAGCAGACCAGTGTTATACAGCCTCTCCATGGAGCTCGGGGGTTTTAACACAGAAACCCCTTACCACTTTTAATCGAGTGGTTACATTTGTGAATCTATTTCTGCATTTCATCATACCGGGACAAAGACACGCATCCCAAACTTGTGAACCGACGGAAAATGTGACGGTTTTATTATTACCACGGTGGAAGAGCAGAGGACAGAGAGGAGTCTTCATCACCTTCAGCCCTGTGACTTACAGACTGAACATGTTCCTAAATCGTAGAATTAGTAGTCGTACGTAAACACTAGGGAAGCATGAAGAGGGCTTTTAGAGCCTGAAGGTCACCCCCCCCCCCCCCCTGCTACCTCAGCTGGTAGTCCTCCTGTTCAACAAGGTTTACAAAAATAGCAACGAGTCACATTTTCTACAGAACAAATCTCAACACCAGGTGATCATTACAATCAGTAGCCAATCAGAGGAGCCAGCTGTTTCTAAGCAATGAAGTACAACACTTTGGGTGGGTGTAAATACTGTTTTTATTTGTAAAAGAGTTTATTTTTTGACAGTTGGCCATAAAAGGGAAACATTATATTCGATTCACCAATCTAACACTTTGTTTGAAACTCAAAATGAAGGAATGAGGGAAGACGTTGGTAAATAACCTGCTTCAGAAGCAGCATTGAATTTATTTGAAGGATAATTGTTTATCACAACTCGGATTTTTTTTTGAAGAAGTTTGGACTTTGTTATGGTCACAAATTACAGAGAGAGAGAGAGAGAGAGAGACGTGGTGACATCATTTTGTAACACTCTCACTAATATTGGCTAGCGCTCCAACACATAAGTGAAAGGCGAAGGGGGCGGGATATATCTAAGAGGTTGACCAATCACAACAGAGCCGGCCAGCTAACCAATCAGAGCAGACTGGGTCCTGGTTTCAGACGGAGGGTGAAAAGAAGTACCGGCAGTGTGAGAGAAATAAAGAGCTTTTTAACCATTAAAGCAAGGAGACATGTCACAGAAGAGGCGCTACATACTGATATGAAACTAGAAATAGGGCCTTTAAGATTTTTCCTGTAAAACGATGAATTTAACAACCTTTAATTATGCATCTTGAAACAAAGGGGTTCAAGATAATCTGATTAATATGTTGGTTTGTTTCCAATCTATCTGATGATATGAAGCAAAGATCCCAGTTGTGATAAACCTGAACGGTCCTTTAAGAGTAGAAACATTTCAATGGAGCAGAACTAATTCACTAATGCCATATTTCTAATGTTTCCCTGTTGTAACTGTCAGTCATTTATTTAAAATATTGCAAAAAGTGGCAAAAAGAAGATTGAGAAACAATTACAGTACTTGTCAAGTGTAATCATGTTGTAAAGAATTTCATAATTTTGATGTTTTTCATTCATGTATTGACCTTGACTTAAAAAAAAAAAAATGTGGACTATTTTTAACATTTCTTCAACTAGTCCAAATGTTGTGTGATTCAGTCATGAAGGCTCTGTTTAATATGAAGAGGACCACAGCTGTGATTAAGCCCATTCAATGCAAGTCATATCATTTATAGAACAGCTCATTTCGGAAAGTCCATTAGCAGACCGCTGAAACTCGCCTATTTTGATTTATCGGAGTGTGTATGAAGGGTATAAATTGCAGAAAAAATGGAATTGCATAACCCGAAAAAGTCTTTGCTAATTAATTTTAAAAAAAACAATGGAAACTAATGGTTGCTGGGGAGAAAACACACCATGTGGTCCTTTTTAAACCACAGCACATTGTGAAAGTAGAATACCATTTTCATCCAGTAAAATAGACCATAAAATGTGCACACTTTACACTCATCACCTGTGCATTACTGAGCCTGTGTTTTGGTTTTTATTAAGTATTGTACTATTTTATTATTGCAGACGAGCTGAACAAGGTGTACTGCATTGATGGATATTACTGCATTACTTTTACGATGAGTGTAAACAAACATGTTGCCGTCATGTCACTTTGCTGTTGATGTACACTTTATTCAACGTTTTTTATTTCACACGCTATTTGAAGACTACCACTTCAGTAAATATGTATAATTAAAGAAACAGTTGAACATGTTGGGGTTGTAGCACATGCTTGTTTAATATCTTAAGACTCTGAAGTGAAATTCAAATTATTTTATCTGTCCAGTATAAACTGTATCACGTATACTACGTTTTTAGGTCCCAGTCAGTGGTAGTTTTGATACTTTAAGTATATTTTGATGATAATACTTTTCTACTTTTACTTGAATAACATTTTGATTGCAGGACTTTTACTGTAACAGAGTATTCCTACACTCTGGTACTTCTACTTTTATTCAAGAACAAGACCCGAGTACTTCTACTTTTACTATAGTACAAGATCTGAGTACTTCTACTTTCACTCAATTACAAGATCTGAGTACTTCTACTTTTACTTAAGCACAAGATCTGAGTACTTCTACTTTTACTCAAGTACAAGATCTGAGTACTTCTACTTTTACTCAAGTACAAGATCTGAGTACTTCTACCTTTACTCAAGTACAAGATCTGAGTACTTCTACTTTTACTTAAGCACAAGATCTGAGTACTTTTCCCACCTCTAGTCCCAGCAGAGTACGATGACTGTTTTATGTATTGGATAATAATAATAATTCAAAGTATGAAATTATATACATTCCTTAATATTAGAGCATACCTCCTATCAAACGAGATAAACAAGAAAAAGTGAATCTTACCTCTTATGACTTATGTTGTCACCCTTTTTTATAGCCTGCTTTTATTTAACCCTCCTATTGTCTTCGTGTTCCCCCCCTTACTTTGGTGTTCGCGGTCAAATTTGACCGGTCCTGTTTTAACTGCTATTACATTAACACAAAAACCATTAATCATCACCAAATGTCATTTAACACCCTTTCAAACTGTACATATTGTATCAGACTACTGGTATACATGAAAAACTGCAGTAAATAAGAACAGACACTGAACATGTATTGCGTGTGCCAGGTTTGATCCATGTGGGGGGATGGGCACATAAGAGCGGGAAATGTGTCAAATTGTTCTGTGTGTGTTTGTGTGTGCCAGGTGTGATCCATGTGGGGGGAGGGACACATAAGAGCGGGAAATGTGGTGTGTGTGTGTGTGTGTGTGTGTGTGTGTGTGTGTGTGTGTGTGTGTGATCTGATCCGGATGGTTACTAATTCCTTTTCTTTATGGCTGTCATTTTTGACCGGGAACACCATGGGTGTTACAAAGTTGACTAAATCATCCAAAATCCAATGAAAGTGGTGATCAGCAATTGTATATGTTCAAATGTCTACTGTGAAGGATATCATAAAGCCTTGATGCAATCGAATGTAAAACAAAAAAGTTATGATTGATGAAAGTAGTAAATCGGTCAGATTTGACCCGAAGACAACAGGAGGGTTTGAACCGTACCCATAAAATAGTAGTGTAAAAACACCTAAAAACATACATGCCAATTTATTAAACCAGTGTACTTACGGAATCAGAGACTGAACTCCATCCTAACATCGAGCTGTTGCACGTGACGGGAACAATGCACTGCAGGAATTGTATATAACAGAATATAATGTGGTGCAATGGTCAGAAAACAGAGGAGAATATAATATTGGTGGTGTTTTAATTAGATTTGAAAAACCTAACCCCACGAACAGTCTGTAGGCCTACGTCTGTGTGTTACTGTCTGTGTTCAGGACAAAGTTCTGAGGTTTGGTGGACGGATCGATCCGAGTTGATCTGCCCGATGCAAAGGAAGACATCAACACACACTCTCTGGGGAAACCCTGTGGAGTTTGAGTTTAGTAGAAGCAGAAAAAAAAGAATTGTGACATGATGTCGATGCACAGGACGAGGCGTGCTCACAGTTTCTTTTGTCGTGCCAGAAAATCCACTCATCCAAGTCTAAAATCGTCTGTTTTGCAGAGAACCAAACGCTCACCAAGTCCTCAGCTTTAGAAAAATAAACCTGATGCTTTACACAAGTCGATGATTCATAAAAGCAATTTGCGAGTCGTGTCAGGTAGATAACTATAAAATTACAGACATCTCAGACTGTTAGAGCACAGTAAGTGTGAACAAATCAACTTAAAAGATTTACAACGCAGGGTAGGAATCCTCCTTTGTAACATCAAAGGAACTGAAAAAGGCACGTCACATTTCTCAAGCCGACACTGAAACCAGTCCCGTAGAAAAGTGTATTCAGTGGACCTCACAATATTTCACATGGTACACGACAATGTACCACACCACTCGACACACCAATCAGAACACAGCGTCCTCGGGCTCCTCTGGAAGAAAAGAAAACCGTGATGATATTTTTACCTTCGGGTCAAAATCTGATGGCAAAGGAAGTGGTCTCCTTTATTTACAGTAACTGTGTTTAAGGCAAGCTTTCTTTAAAAGATGTTATCGAACGTGTCTCATCCTGATAAAAAAAATCCTAAATGACTAAACCATGGATTAAAGTCAGCTTCAGATTATTCTCCCCGCACAATCTGCCAGAAACAGTTACGCTTAAAATCTTTACATTAGAATTAAAGTGTGGTTTATTTTGGAATTTAGGTTTTGTTGGTGCCGATTTATCGTCCAAGTTTAGAAGACCTACAAGGAGCCCATCAGATCCAGTTTCCTTCCCTTCCTTCGATGTGTGAGTCTGTGTGTAGAGGAAGAAACAGATAAAAACGAAATGCTTTGGTCCATGCATGTTGTAGGTTCGTATCTCAGAGCACACACTCTGGTCCTAGCAGTCTGTAGATTCAAGTGGCTTCTATCCGTTCTCCTTCCACAGAACTAAGTGAATGCTATGGTCCGGCATGCTGGTGGCGAACACCAGTCCAGAGTCATTGTCCCCGTCCAGGCCGTTGAGCCAGGAGGTGACGCCGGGCAGGAAGCTGGACCCCCGTTTGGACTTCCTGTAGGCGGGGAGCGGCCAGCGGCCCGAGATGGCCTCCGTCCTCAGGTCCATCACGTACAGGAAGTGGTTGTCGAAGAGGAGCGAAAACACCTCGCCGAAACTGAGCAGGGAGAGGTTGGCCGGGTCCTGCGTCTTTATCACCCTGAGGACACGAGATAAGATCATTGTTAGAAAAATATCACTGGTCCCCGGCTTGAGCTTCAATCTCAGGATCCATGTATTTGTGATCCTCTCCAGAATGGAAGTAGTCATCACATACAGAGCATCAACTAGTTCCTGAACAGTGTCCTTCACATGCTGATATACAAGAGAGGGAGTTACACAGTCACAAGATGGAGGAATGCCGGTTCTTCTCGGTAATCATACATCCTGTCATGTACAAAATAGGCCTACTGAGTTTTCTCTAAAAATTCAGATTTTCTCTCAAAATCCTGACTTTTTTCTCAAAATCCTGACTTTTTTTCTCAAAATCTTACTTTTTCCTTAAAATCTCAAAATTCTGACTTTCTCTCAAAATTCTGACTTTCTCTCAAAATCTCTAAATTCTGACTTTCTCTCAAAATTCTGACTTTCTCTCAAAATCTCTAAATTCTGACTTTCTCTCAAAATTCTGACTTTTTCTCAAAATTCTGACTTTTTTCTCAAAATCATTTTTTTAAACTTTCTCTCAAAATTATGTATTTTTTCTCAAAATCTCTAAATTCTGACTTTTTCACAAAATCTCAAAATCCTGACTTTTTACTCAAAATCCTGACTTTTTACTCAAAATCTCAAACAGTGTCCTTCACATGCTGATATCCAAGAGAGGGAGTTACACAGTCACAAGATGGAGGAATAGAAAGCAGTATTCAATGTTTACTTCAGATTAGCTCCACGTCAGAAATGATCATGCTTGTCATATGTCTATCTCCATAGAGGCTGAATCATCATGTTAATCACATAGCTATCATATGCCTCAAACAGTCCTGATGCTCTTCTAGGTAATCATACATCCTGTCATGTACACAGCTACAGTTGGGATACCTTTGTTATCAGGTGTACTCTGATATTAGGAGAGTACATTCACAACAATAAGATAAGATGGAACTTTATTTTAAGTTCAGGCGTTTATAGCAGCAACAGGGTCAGAGTTAAAAACAGGATACACACAAAGTAAAAATAAAGACGAAATATACCTCAATCTCAATTCTATGTATTTACCTGCAGGACCCTCCCGCTGTGACAGCTTCCACAGTTCATAACATTTCTAAATAATATGAATGTTGAAAGCTGTTCTGCTTTGAGACATATATGATTCAAGTATAATATAATTACTATTTCTATATATTGCACTACACACACAATTCGTCGACCAATAAATATTTTTTTTGTTAACTATAGCCATAGTTTCTGCATTATTTGTGACTGTTTGCAACTTAAAACAAAAAAACAATTGATCTAATATATCATATTCCAATTACTTGTATAGACTATTTCTATTGTATTCTATTTTATTGTATTTACTTGCACTATTATCTGTGTTATTGTGTTGCACTGTTGGAGGAGCCTGTGACCTCAGATGTTCATTGTCATATCTACACTGCACACATGACAATAAACTTGAATCTTGAATTGAATCTGAGCTGTTTTGAGTTTGACCATCTAACAGAAGCTACAGAGCAGGTGCTGTCCCTAAATGACCTCCGAGATGTTTCCTATCCTACCTGAGAATCTCAAAGCTGGCGAAGTCCCACTGATAGACCCCGATGTCTGAGCTGCAGACGATGTAGCGCCCGTCGAACTGCAGGCGGGGCTGCAGGCTGATGCTGCGGTCCTCCGACACCGAGAGCGTCTTCAGACACTTACAGTTGATCTCTCTGCCTAAAGGCCACACCTGAGGGACAGGGGTTACCACATCAGATGCACGCTTACCAGTAAAGCAGCCCACATGATAAACAATGAGATGAGTGAAGGAAAGAAAGGTCTAGAAGAAAGGACCCTTACCTTAATTTCATACTTATCAACACTCAGGAGGATGTAATCCCCAGGGCTGTGCACCACAGACTCCACTTCACTTTTCTGCAGAATCACCTGATGGGGGGACACAAGATGCATGTTTCTAAAAGTGCATTTGTGGACAGCAAATAGTACAGACTTATTACAACATATTTGTTTGTTACAAATCCTCCTAAGAATAGAAATCACAACATGATTATTTCAGTAAACGTGTGAATAATGTACACAAATGCTAATTCCCTCTAATATTGCACATTTTGAAGCAATTCCAATATCAGATGATTTATCTATTCTTTGTAAATCTTGAAGCCCTGGAACTATCACATGACTCAGGGGCCGTTTCTCAATCGCGAGGATGCTGGCTTGGTAGCACAGCCGAGCCGAGTATCTTGCTTCAGAAGCTTGGCAAGAATACTTCCTGCTATTCGGAAAACGAAGAGTGGAACAGGCTAGCAAGTGTGCAGGTGTGCGTCATATGAGGCCCCGCCTTACATCTTCCGCCACAGATTTGGGGAAATTGGTCCGTGCGCAAAGCATTGTGGGGATTTTAAGGACGCGAAGTCTACCCATGTGCAGCCTCGAAATTTCCCCCAAACCAAGGACGCGGCCCTCGGTGGAATTCCAAGTATGCTGGAGATTAGAACAGTCCTTCGGCGGCACTCGATGACGTAGCATCCTTGAAATATTGGCTTGGAAGCCAATATCCTCGCGATTGAGAAACGGCCAGGGTGTTATAACAAGAGGAAGTGGTGGGGGGGGGGCATTGAATGAGTGACCTTTCAGTCTGAGTGAGAGGTGAGGATCCTGACCTGGACACACCAAGCCGATTTTGGCCGACGATGAGCGTCGACACGCCCTACTCAGATTGGTGTGTCCCGCACCGTCGTGTCTTTTCAGCCGTGCCAACACAACAGTCGGGGGTCCGTCTGTGTCAGTTCTTTGGTGTCAGCTTGGTGTGTCCGGGCCTTAAGAAGCGAAACCTCTCTCCCCCCCCTTCCTCTTTATTATATATTTATTTTTTGTCTTTGTATTGTTTTATTATTATTCTTTATTATTTTTGTTTTGTCCTGTTAGTCTGTCCAACACTCTCCTACATTTTGGCTACATGGTCTGTTTTGGTTATACTTGTGGTTTGAATATTGTACGCCTTCAAGTGAAGATCAACTATGTATGGCTTGTACAATTGATGTACAATAGTAGAGACTAAGCTGAACACTAGTGGCTTTGAACTGTTCAATCTAACCTATCAATGTACCAAATGTATTTTCTATGTGTCTGGATCCTGACCTTGGTGACCCACTCGGTATGTCCGGTGAGCGTGTTGAGGCAGGCCCCCGCAGACAGAGCCCACACCTTCACCGTGAAGTCAGCCGAGCCGCTCACCAGCACATCCAGCTCGTCGTTGTAGTCCACGCTGAACACTGAGCACACACAAGAGTTTATCAAAAGGTCAGAATATCAAATGAGTGTTCTTCCAAGTACAGAAGTGATGTCATACATTCATAAATGTCATTGCTTTCGGTTGATTTGGATTATCCTTTGTGGACATTTTTTACACTTTACTTACATTGTTACAGCAAGTAAAGAGCCAAACATAGCTTAATATGAACTAAGAAGCATGCATAACATATTAATGATAAAAGTAGAAAATACACAATTTACAGTTTACAAAATACACATCCAGTACCAGTAACAGTTTTGAGATAGCAGCCAGGTGACAGTATTTAAAGGTGGAAGTATATATTGCACAGTTATTTACTTACTTGTATATATGTATTGCACATAAGTAGTATTGCACAACAGGGGTGGTATAGTCTAGTCTTTGTTGTTATGTGTGTGTGGGGGTCTACCAGGGGCCGTGGAGGTTATACAGTTATACACTAGAGCTGCGTACGCTGAATGAATTGAGGCAGTAATGATATATTTTGGTAGGCGAAAGTTAGCATTGCAAGGATCCCTTGATCAAGATCACTGGCAAACACACGATTATAATACTTAAAACTTTTGTACGGCAGGATAATCTCCACATATTAACGCGCTTTGTGATTTTTAAAGTTGTCTCATTTGGTCACTTGTAAGCAACCGCCTTTTTATGACACAAAGAAGCTTCAGACATGTCGTAGAACAAAAAGGTGAACATCTCCTCAGCGTGTTAACCACAGACCTCAGGCTTCTATCTAAAACCACTTGTTTTATGACTCATCCCTTCACCACTGTTGAAACATGTTATATAAATACAGTTCATCACACGATCACATGAAAAGGCCCAGACCAGATATTATTTGAACAGTATTTCCTACCTGCTCCTGTGTGGCCCCTGAACTGCTGGATTTTGGCCCCTGTGCTCCACTCCCAGCTGGCGATGGTGTTGTCGAAGGACCCGGTCACCAGCTTCTGTTCATCGAACTTCACCGTGGCGCAGGTGTGCGTCTGGATTCCATAAATACACTGCCCGGTGCGCACATCCCATAGTTTGGCAGAGAGGTCGTCAGATCCTGAAAACAAGAGGACAGCTGTGATGATGTGATGATGTGACACCTAATGTTTCTGTTAGCCCGTATTTAACCAAAATAAAACGTGTAGTCCGACAAATTTAAATCTGCCCGGTCATATTGTCCAGTAATAATAAATACAATAAAATTAGATAAGTGTATTAAAAAAAAAGCCTTATAATGGCAATGGAGTACACTGGAACGGTTTATATTCTGAGGGGAAATTATATTTGAAGGTCGCATAAGGGGCGTACAAATGCCGCGTTTTGTGCATGATCAAATCCACTGTTGTCAGATGTTGGAGAAAATACTGTTGTCTCCTCTTTGGGTTTGTTTTAATGCACTGATATCATGTGTGACTCTGAACTGTGTACGACCTTCCAGCTGCCTCTCTATGATAGGAGGAGGCAGGGCATTTCAGGTTGTTGATCTTTATGAGTAGACAGACACATACTTGTTGTCTCCTACATATCTCATTTCTATGAGGCGTGAAGGAAGTCCAGAAGACGTCACAGATGACCCATCGCAGATGACCCGACGCTTTTCCGACACCCGCGGCTGATTTTGGCGCCACCTCGATTTACGACTTGGTTGTTATCTCCTGTATTTTGGACTATAATATAAGCCTGATGTTGTTTCCTGCTCCGTTGAGCAACATACCTCATGTGTGTGAGTTAACCCATATCCTCTGTATGTGATGTAACTCTGCTCCTTCTTGCAAGAATAAATTAGTACCTGATTATTGATTCTCAACCTGGTGTCGAGTGATATTTTCCTAACATCAGAGAAAAAAGTAGTTCACCTTTCAACTTTAAGCAAAGTAGAGACAGAAGGAAAATTTTATTTGCTGTGTGAAAAGTTGTAATATGTCAAAGTGGGGCTATTTAATGAATAATAATTATGTTTTCTCTCATACATGGTCACATACTTTAGCTTTACAACAGCGATTGCACTGCAAAAATAAGCGATTAGGATGCACCCTGGTAACCCGAATCAACAATTCTTCTTACAACTGGCATAGTTAATACACAGGTAATGGCTGTACAGTATAAGGTAATGTATCCAGAGGTCAGAGCAGCGTACCTGTGCAGAGGAGGCCGTCCTTGTAGTAGAGGGCGTAAACTCGAGCGCTGTGCCCGATGAGGGAGGAGGTCTCGAAGGCCTCCTGGTCCTGCAGCTGCACCATGCGGAGCTTAGCCTTCAGGTACACCCCCTTCCAGTGTGGGGCGTCCTGAATGGACTCATCGATCCTCCAGCCCAGCTTCCTGCACACACCCTGCCACACCTCAGTGCACGAGTTGATCAGCTGCAAGGAGCAAACAACACATTAAAGGTCACCTATTGTGCAAAATCCACTTTCTCATGTCTCTTCTACATCAACATGTGTCCCCTCTTCTTCATGTCTCTTCTACATCAACATGTGTCCCCTCTTCTTCATGTCTCTTCTACATCAACATGTGTCCCCTCTTCTTCATGTCTCTTCTACATCAACATGTGTCCCCTCTTCTTCATGTCTCTTCTGCATCAACATGTGTCCCCTCTTCTTCATGTCTCTTCTACATCAACATGTGTCCCCTCTTCTTCATGTCTCTTCTACATCAACATGTGTCCCCTCTGTGGAAAGAGACTCTGAAAGTTTCAGGAACAAAGATTCTCTCTCTTTTTGTCCTGATCCATTTCTATAAAAACCTGTCTGAAAATGAGCTGATCAGATTTTGGCCACTTTATGATGTCATAACGATTTTTTTGGCTTGTGTAACCATTAGCCAATCAGCAACCAAGGTAACCCCCCCCCCCCACCTTATCACCTGAATCTCCTCCTAGAGCACCATTGTGTTCTTTTTAACCAAATATCTCTCAGAGGGGCGTGGGGAGGGGCTCCTTATTTTCATCTAAAGTAACAGACAGAGAATCAGCACTTATGAAACAGGGCTGAAACAGAGGGGATTATGGGATGCTGCAATGATCTGTTTGGTGTTTGGAGAAAAGGATACAAGATTACAAGTCCGACCAGACGTTTGATGGCACCTTTCAATCAACATCCAGTAAATTGAAGTTTCCCGAAGATACAGAGCCTGTACGAGTTTAGACAGGAATTGAACTTGCAGCCTGTATGCGTTAATCACTAAAAGACATCATTAGTCACCTTATTCCACTGCTTGCAGACCAGGCAGCAGGTCAGCAGGGTCTCAGTGTCCAGCCAGTGGATCAGGCAGAAGGCCAGCTCCAGGGGAAGCAGGCGCAGGAAGTCTCGCTTCAGCAGGGTCTCCAGTCCATTGGACAGATGACGCAGCTGCACGGCACCACTGAGAGAGATGAGGTGGTCCAGAGACTGGTTTCGCTGCTGGTCGTTCAGAGTAAGGAAAGCGGCGGAGACTGACTCCAGCCACCCCTCAAAGGCTGCCTTCTCCATGGGCACATGAGAGCGACCTGCAACACCTACAGGGCAAGGCAACTTTATTTATAACGCACCTTTCAACACAAGGCAATTCAAAGTGCTTTACAAACATGAAAGACATTAAGAAACATATTATAAAATGGCATTTAAAAACACTCATTTAAAAGCAAAGATAATAAAACGTGAATAACAAAGGTACATGAATTAAAGTGACAGTGCAGTGTGAGATACACACATCTGAAATGTTTAGCTCTGACTCTCAGTCATTGCTCACTTTTTTAGCAGAAATAGTTTTCTTTGACCTCACTTTCTTTCTACTTTTTTAACTTATCCTTTAGTTATTTCAAGTGTTTCATGCTAAGCGAACCCCCCTTTTGAAAATGATAATCTGCAACCCAATATTCCGAAAAGTCAACGGATCCTGGCCGTATTCGTGTAGCATATAAAATGTATTTGCTCCCAGACATTCATGTGGCTTGCTAGTTTTGGACCTAATTTGTACCCCCCATACACGTAGGGGACTTTAAATCAGCCCATCATTTATCAGGGTATAGGCAGGAATCCTGAAGTCAAATGTAATACCTTTTAAGACCTTTTTGAAGACCCTTTCCATACATTTTAAGACCTCATCGCCACTTTGAGTTTTAACCGGCGACACACTTCACCTCACATTTACTATATACAGTATTGATTGTCCTTCCTCCTTATCTTCCAACCATTTGGACGCAAACTTGCATTTCCCCATAACGATGTTGTTTAACAACCGGCGTAAACGGACCTGCGCGCGCTATCAAGCAGTGAGCGCGCGATGTCCTGTTCAGATGACGTCAAATCCAACGGGATGCCATAAATAAACTACACAGAATCACACTACACACCTACGCTATGATTACATTCAGGCAAACTGTAGAATACAACCTCTTTGGACAATTTATATACTTATTGAAAACAAGCTACAAAATGTAATACATTGGAAAATGCCGTTTAATACTTTTTAATAGCCTACATTTTCGCTAAATTGATTTATCAACTTTTAATACTTTTTAAGACCCCGCGGACACCCTGTTTAAACACAAGATGACACAACTATTGTAAGAAGCCATAGAGTAGACATCTGAAAAATAATGTGTTTAGGATAACTTGGGAGATAACAATATGATGTTGTACCTGATCATGCAAAAAAGATGTCTTGACTTTAAAGGGCTGTAACATATGTATGACAGTTTTACCAAATTGCAATTTAATAAATCCTGAAAGAGATGAAACAATGTGTTGTATATCTGAGAATCTCATTACATAAAATATATAATATAGATGCAATGAGTTACACAATGTATCAACCATTTGAGTGAATGGATATCTTGCAGTTTAAGATTATCATGTAGCATTTTCATCAGTACTGTTAAGATTACTGAATGGAAATATCTTCTACTACCTTGAGTGACAACTAAGTATTTTACAGAAAGCATAACCCCCACTTTATGATGTTAAAATGAACATTTTAAAAAGGCATACTTGGTGGTCTTGAAAACAACAGAAAATGAGTACATGCATTAATCGTTTACATAATCCCATCAAGCCAAACAGTAACATGTCAATGGAATACGTTGGACTATTTTCACAACGGGTTAAACAAACGACCATTTATGATAAGTTACATTACATTAGTATGGCTGTATACTTATGAATTTATCCAATTTTTTATGATTTTACAAGCCAAAAATGCACGTTAGCCAGAAGCTGCATCCAAGCAGACACAATGATTTGACGCTTTTGTGTCAAATAATTCAATGGCATAGTAAACTGCTGACAACAATGTGAGGTAACTCTTATGAACAATTGAAGTCCATCTGTTTGTGCATTCAGTCTGAATAAACTACCTGGCTAGTTAGCAACTTTTGTAGCAAACGTTAGCTAAGTAACACAACTAAACATTAAATAGCAAACTGGCTACCACTAGTAACACCCCAAACAAAGCAATGAACAGGATACATGACTGTTAGTAAATTAAGTTACATTTAAAAGTATAAACTCAAAATGTCCACCCACCAGAGAGTTGCAGGGAGTTTCTTTATCGCCACTTTCCTGGCTTACTGAGTTCACATAGCGAAGTTAGCTGTCGTAAGCTAACGCTAACCTGACAGCAAGCAAGTTGAAAGGATTGTCCAAGTAACCTAGCTTCGTAGCTAACGTTAACTAACCGCCATTATGAGAGTACTTGATCATTTAGATGTAAAATAGAGCGTTTCTAGCAGAGTAACGTTAGTCTTCTATTCATTGTTTACGTTAGTAGCATTAGCGTAGGGAGATAACGTTAGCAGGTTTCTGACAGCATGAAACCGAAGATAATGGGAACGCTATCTGAGCAGAAGGGAGGAATACACCCTCAGCTCTGTCTGACAGGAGCAGCCTTGGGAGTATTTACCTCTACCCCGAAACAACCAGAAGCATTCAAGTGGACTTCTATAGAATGACGTTATTAATTCATTCTATATCCATCCGATACACTGGAAAATCAATATTGTTTTGTAGTTGCCTTAGTATGCTTTCTCTTCATGAGACCTAATTTGCCTGAAATACAAAACATAGGGCTTATTTACATGTTTTATAAGCAGGTACACTGGCTTCCGGTGTCACACACAATATGGATCGGGTGAAATATGTGACAGTATTTCCCAAGTATACTTTTATTAATTACATTCAATTAGACAAAACATTCCTTAAATTATGCAAAAGTAAAAAAAAGCACCTTAATTCCCGAATGACCACTTGTGTTTTTGTTTTGTTTTTGTTGTTTTCTGTCCATAATGCCCTCCTTTTTCGAATTAATGTAATAAACACTTAGGATGTTTGTTTTTTTATGTATAGAAATAATTGTTCAATAAGGTAGAAACAAATAAAAATAAATAAATATGTGACAGTACTGTTTGCTCCAGACTGAACTTAAAGAACAATGAATATGTAAATAATAAAGAATATATGATTTTCACCCCGCTTGCCTCTTTACTGTATAGACCCCAGTCCGGTGCATATGTTGATTTATATTGTATGTACAGTACAGTGGGGGAGCCAGTAATTCACCGATTCTTCAGGCATCCAAATCACGCGAGATAAGAACGTCATGTACTAGCTTTGTGATATATAGTTTAAGAATAAATATATCTGCAAAGATGTTTTAATGCAGTGTCCACAGCAAAAACCTACATGACAAATCATTCCTTAGAAATTAATCTTCATTGAACTTTTTTATTGATTCAAAATCTACCAAAAAAGTAACTCTATCACCTGTATTTGCTGTGGTTTAATTATTTTAATGTACCTGATTTCTTAAACAAAGAATGGTATGCTTTTATTTGTGTATTAAACTATAATAGCATTTGTAAACTTTACTATCATGCAAGACTATAATATAATCTGGAATCCTTAGGGATGTCTATCTCCTCTATTTGTTTTTTCTGCTTTTTTAAACTATATTAGTCGGGCCGTACGACTTAAAATATACTGCACAAGTTGCAGGGGGTAGGTCATTCCTATACAAAAGGTGATTTTCGGGATGATGATTTCCAAGTTAATCATACTGTATGTGTTCATGTGTCCTCTTTGTCGGCCCCATTGCACCCTCTAGAGGACATTTGGAGGTAATGCACACTGGTGCATTTTCATGAGAGGAAGTATAATCATTTTACAACAAAGCTTATAATTGAACAAAAGGGGTTTATATGATTTGTGTACAGGTCGAATGGCAAACTGTTAAGGGGTGAGAATATAATCTGTGGTTTAAAATGCAAATATCTGTTTTGTCAATCTGCAGCTAAGTAAAAGTAGTCATTGTGCAGATCGGTCCATTTCAGAATAATATATATGATATGTTTTATAATTATTGATCATTAAAGTGTTCTCAAAGCTGGTAAAGGTGCAGATAGTTTGAATGAGTTTGTATACTGCAGGGTAGCTTGTGAATTTACTCCAGGTGGAACTAAAGTCTGATTTAAGAGTTGATTATATTTCACATCATTAATCCACATCTGTAAAGTAACTAAAGATAGTGGAGCCAAAGTACACCATTTACCTCTGAATTGTAGTGGAGTAGAAGTACAAAGTAACACAAAATTGAAATACTCAAGTAAAGTACCTCAAATGTACAAATGTGATTGAGTAAATGTACTGAGTTACTTAGCATCAGTGGATTTTGAGTGCAGGACTTGTTCTTGTAACAGAGTATTCCTACTCCCTTGTACTTCTACTAGTACAGACCTGAGTACTTCTACTTGAGTACAGACCTGAGTACTTCTACATGAGTACAGACCTGAGTACTTCTACTTGAGTACAGACCTGAGTACTTTTACTTGAGTACAGACCTCAGTACTTTTACTTGAGTAAAGACCTGAGTACTTCTACTTGAGTACTTCTACATGAGTACAGACCTGAATACTTCTACTTGAGTACAGATCTGAGTACTTCTACTTGAGTACATATCTGAGTAGGCCTACTTCTACTTGAGTACAGATCTGAGTACTTCTACTTGAGTACAGACCTGAGTACTTCTACTTGAGTACAGACCTGAGTACTTCTACATGAGTACAGACCTGAGTACTTCTACTTGAGTACAGACCTGAGTACTTTTACTTGAGTACAGACCTCAGTACTTTTACTTGAGTACAGACCTGAGTACTTCTACTTGAGTACATATCTGAGTAAGCCTACTTCTACTTGAGTACAGATCTGAGTACTTCTACTTGAGTACAGACCTGAGTACTTCTACATGAGTACAGACCTGAGTACTTCTACTTGAGTACAGACCTGAGTACTTTTACTTGAGTACAGACCTCAGTACTTTTACTTGAGTAAAGACCTGAGTACTTCTACTTGAGTACTTCTACATGAGTACAGACCTGAATACTTCTACTTGAGTACAGATCTGAGTACTTCTACTTGAGTACATATCTGAGTAGGCCTACTTCTACTTGAGTACAGATCTGAGTACTTCTACTTGAGTACAGACCTGAGTACTTCTACTTGAGTACAGACCTGAGTACTTCTACATGAGTACAGACCTGAGTACTTCTACTTGAGTACAGACCTGAGTACTTTTACTTGAGTACAGACCTCAGTACTTTTACTTGAGTAAAGACCTGAGTACTTCTACTTGAGTACAGATCTGAGTACTTCTACTTGAGTACATATCTGAGTAAGCCTACTTCTACTTGAGTACAGATCTGAGTACTTCTACTTGAGTACAGACCTGAGTACTTCTACATGAGTACAGACCTGAATACTTCTACTTGAGTACAGACCTGAGTACTTCTACTTGAGTACAGATCTGAGTACTTCTACTTGAGTACAGACCTGAGTACTTCTACATGAGTACAGACCTGAATACTTCTACTTGTGTACAGATCTGAGTACTTCTACTAGTACAGATTTGAGTACACAGCAGTACACGGATCCTCCACAGAGCGACACCGCCCCGCTGCAGGGTGGAGTTTCAGCTGCACTGCAGAGAGCGGATAGGGAGGGGAACTAAGAACAAGTCGCTATCTGGCTTTTCCCCTTGCTGAAAAAAATCTATCAGGAATAACCGAAACAACTTCAACAATTTTTATTTTTTGCGTTCCAAAGTCCAAGGGAACGCCGGCGGGAGTGGACTCACGCGCTCAGGTCAGACTTTCTAACTTTGAAAAGTTTCCACCATTGTAGCAAGAAGTCCTTGACGTCACCACAGACTCGAGCGAGAAATCTTCCTAAAAGTGCTCAGACTCAGGCCTGCTGCTGTACAGACGGGCTTCAAACCGCTGTGTGTGTGAAGAGGCAGTTAGGAGACGACGTGCTGTCCATTATCAAGCGCCACACACACAGAGGGACAAATATGCGTTTCCTCCACACATGAATGTCCTGTGGGCTCTCACTGTTCATCAGAAACATGCAGTGTTGTGTTCACGTTTCCGTCTGGTGTTTTCTCTATGAGGTCTCTGTGTGTTTCTTCAGAGGGGGAAGAAGTGTAGGAATACTCTGTTACAAGCAAAAGTCCCCCAACCCATTTGTTAGTCATGTACAAAAGTATTCAAAGTATACTTACAGTACCAAAAGTAGAAGTACTTATTATGGAAATTGGCCCATTTCCTTATTATATATGATATGTTTTGATTATAATGATTGATGCATTAAAGTGTTATCAAAGCTGGTAAAGGTGCAGCTAGTTTTAATGACTTTGTATACTGCAGGGTAGCTTGTGAATTCACTCCAGGTGGAACTAAAGTCTGATTTAACACTTGATTATATGTCACAACTAGTAACAAAAGGTACAATATAATTGTAGTGGAGTAGAAGTCCAAAGTAACAAAACATTGAAATACTCAAGTAAAGTACACGTATCTCCACATTGCAGTTCTTGAGTACATGTACTTCCCACCTCTGGTTTTCTTCACCATTCAGAAATGTGCTCTCTCTGTCAGAGTTCCCTGTGTTAAAGGGGTGATTGTCTGGAGACCACCTCCACACTGCTCCCTTTCTGACCCACAGCAGCTCCACAACCCTCATTGTGTCAAAGCAGCTAATGTGAACTTCTGTCACTTCTCTCCTGTATTCCTGCTCTCTCAAAGCTGGGCGTGTTGCTAGCAGAAGAGCAGCAGAGAAAATGTAGCCTCAGGGTGTAAATTCTTACACCACTGTGATGTGGTGTGCGACAGAGTGGAGGAATTTGTATAGAGACGTGTTTACTTTGAGCAATAAACTTGTGTCAGTAGCAGGCTATAAGGCAGGCTAGTATCTGAAAACATGCCAGAAACGACAGTGAGTCCGCTGGTGGAGATTGTGAGGCCTAATGGCAGTCTTTCCTCAGTGTGGCAGGGTGTGCTACATGTTGGCACATGATAGGACTACTCCATGCAACACAAGCACACATGTCCACAAATTCTATTGTAATTGTGGCCAAAAAAAACAACACCAGGAGTTTAAATGCAGAAGTGGAAGAAGTACTCAGATCTTGTACTTGAGTAAAAGTAGAAGTACCAGAGTGTAGGAATACTCTGTCACAAGTAAAAGCCCTGCATTGCACATGTTAGTCAAGTGAAAGTATAAAAGTATTGGCATCAAAATGTACTTGAAGTAGCAAAAGTCAAAGTACTGATTATGCAGATTGACCCATTTTCTGATATTATATATTAAATTACTGGATTTGAATAATTGATGATGATTACTACAAAATAGTGTACCCATATAACTGTAGTATTGTTACAGTGTAAAAGAGGGAGGTGAGACCTCCCGCTGTCAGAGAAGAGTCTTTAGAGAAGATATGTGTTTATTGTGTTATCCCTTTGTTTTCCTACTACTTCTCTAATGTGCTCA